AGACTTAAATCCCTATCAAAAATATAAAGTTTTGTCTTCGCCTTCGTATCTTTTTCCTCTTAAGTATTCTTTCAATTTGGGGAACAGATAAAAATCGCTAGGCGTCAGATCTGGTGATTATTATTATATGGGGGGTTGATCAACCAATTCGAAGGCAGCTTACTGAATGGCCTCCATCGTAACTGCCGACCTGTGCGCGGGTGTGTTGTCGTTATGAAACAGCACGCCCTTTCGAAGTTTCCCTCTCCTTTTCTCTCCTCGTATTCGTTTTTCATCTCAAAATAATAATCTAATCGCAGCAAATTACCCACAAAATGTTCTCGGTAAGAATTTGTTAGATAAGAGTTGGACTGTCGCGTGGGTGTCTGAGTGAAAGTTCAAATTGAATTATTAGTGGTAGGTAACTAGTGGCTTGGCTGATCCTGTTGCCAGTGTCCCTGAGCAATGGTAATAACCGGCAGTCACGTTGGACATAAGTTCCGTTCTTCCATAAACACTAACAATAACCTTATCTAAATTACGAAGACTCCCAACGTTGTGCAACAATATAGCCCAAACAAACGAGTAAGAATAACCTGAAGTTATTTTTAAAAGAAAATTAAAAAAAGCCTTTAGAATGAAAATCGACGAGACAGGAAAAGCTGCAAGCTTCGTAGTGAAGTTAAGCCGTATTAAAGCTAAGTGCAATAGCCCCCAGAACTCAGAGGTCTAACGCGAAGAGACGATCACATTCTGTCACAAGATGATATCTTATTCCGACACTTGAGTGATACAGTTAATCTTTATTTTACAAAAGTCAATGGTGCATTATTGTTTGTTTTGCTTCATATTTTTGACTCAATCCTGAAATATTTACGGAATGTTAAGGTTTTTCAAAATTGATTTTTTTTTATTCATCTTAAATAAACACGGAATGTTAGTCAAAACTTCAATGAAAACATCATAGATAATACACATAAATTCTAGTCCTAATAGTAAATTACAAAAAACAAAATCACATACAATCCGATCAAACGTTTTTGAATAATTTGCTTATTCACTGGCATGTTATGAACAGGTTAAATAGAAGTAAATCATTTTGTGATTAGTAGTACATTAGACCAAATAACGTTTTGATCTGTCAGAGTTTATGTTTGACAAGTGTAAAAAACAGATTAATTTCTGCCTTGTTCTCATTACGTTTAGCATAATGTTATGCAATTTGAATTTATTAAAATTGTATACCATATCAACGGTGTCCTGAGGTGCCCAAAATTGTCCAGATTTGCATACTAAATGCGAACTTGTGTTGTAAATTAACATTGTGCCTGCCACTGGAATACGCTGACTTGCTAAAATAAAAGTTACATTTGTCGTGACCTCGGAGTGTATAGTTTAGTTTGATTTGTCCAGTTTGTTACTATTTATTTTTTACTTTTATTAAGTTATTGCATAGCTTTTATCACGGGCTTTGAGCGCGGCGATCGAAACAAGAAATTCCGTAACGAAAATAAAACCTAATACCCCCCACCACTCCACCTACCATGTAGCTCGCGTTCAACACACTCACACGTTGCGCTTGTGTTGTGTTTGTGAATAAGCGCACGGCGCGACGTCGCACTGTATGCGCATCATGAAAAGTCTGCCCATCTCTCTCACGCGCGAGCTCTAGCTTATGAGTGTGAAGGGGACAGTTAATGTTTTGCTTTTGTTAATGTTTATAAATTATTATTGTCTAATTATAATTGTTTAAGTTGATAAAAAATGCTATGCAATAGCTTTACCGCGGCAATCCCCGATTGCCACACGTGTTTTTTTTATTAAAATTATTGTAGTAGTTATAAAAGAGAGCTGGTAGGGCGTGAGTTATGGCCAATAACTTGGGTTAGTAAAATTACACAATTCTTCTCATGAAAAACTATTAGGCTTTGTGATTTTTATGGAGTCCAATTACCAAGTCGTAGTGACCCATTCGTTAACCAAGCAAAAAAAATACTCAGGAAACACTCTTTTATTAGAAAATACATAAATACTCTTGATATTTTTTTTCGATCAATGACACATAACGTTATGATGTGAACACATAATTTTGTTGAAATTTCTTATTGATATATGATAAGCGCTCAATGATCCGAAAAGGGTCTTGGCGCCAAACACAAGCGATCTCTATTATCTGCTCTCCGCCAATGTATTCCACTCGTGGTTTCTGAGGGCTATTGAATCTTTTTAGGATTTAAACAAACATACATTAAAATAGATTTCTTTTCATAAACTACAATTTCGAATTAAATTTATATTTGTATAGATTTTTCAAAATAAAGGCCTTAATTTGTAGATGATATAGTTCATCAAATTTAAGATCTGGCCTGAAATAAAACGATGGCGTTACCTTCTGCCAGTTTTAGTAGAAATGGAACCTTATTCGTGAAGGCAGAATCGTTAAAATTTCATGGCATCTAAAAAAATATCATAGGTCACATGTGTTCAAAGCATATACGTATATAGATGTCTGGTTTTGAAAGAGTGGATAAATCACTGTTGAATTTTTTATTTGTTCCTTTATCGCTGTAAATAGCACACCGCCTAGTGTTAAGTATATGCTGAAGGCTGTTATTTATAGTCACTACTTCGTTTGTGCTGACGTTCACCTTGAGACATATCGGATTCTCGATTTTAGTATAAAAACGGTGGTTCTTTTAACCCGGAATATATGAATTCCTTGTGGTAAAAAAGTTCGGTGTTGTGGAACGATACCAGTGTTAAAATGATTATTTATTTTGAGTACCTACTTACTTACTAAATATAATTTAATGTTTTGAAACCATTAAACAGTCAAATTCAAATTAATTAATTTGGCTTGTTTTTATTTCAATTACATTTTTTTGGTCAGGAGGAAATCGCCGGACTTCTGCCCTCCACTGGGAATGGAGAGCGGGGTATTTCGGAGTCGAACTGACTACAACCTCCTGTCGCTCAAGAACCCACGTTCGAACCTCGCATGAGACAGAACTCATGAAAAGGCATAGGGGCGAAAGTGAAGCGTTTGGTGCGGAGCACATCTCTCCCATCACCCTCCCCCTCATCTCAATTACATGAACGATTGTTGGTCATCTGGGCCCACTGAGTTTCTCGCCGGATCTTCTGAGCTGGTCGCGCTTGCGATCCCGTAGGAGATTCTGCGAAGCCCTGCGCTTGCTAGGGCTACTGTTAGCAAATTCGACAGGCTGAGCCCCGTGAGCTCGCTAACTCACTCGGTGAAGCTGGTATAACCCTTCGAGGTTACCAGCGTAGATAGGAAAAAGAATAATAGTTCGTCATCCGAAATAATCTTTAGATTCAATTTATACCTTGGATCGGCAACAAAAACTGTGAGTCATACATCTAAAATAAAAGACGACGCATTTATTATGTATAGAAGTTAGGTTGTATCACACAAAATGACATTTCGGCGTCGTATATCTTATTACGTACTTCGCAGTGAGCGATCCGTAAGAGAAGCCTCTTTGAGAATAAGATATTCAGATCTAACGTACGCTATCTACGTCCATTATCTACTTAGAATATTAAATATTAATATGATAGAAAATTAAGTTAATTAAAACAAGTGATAATACATAATTCATAAAAAAGAAATTCANTCACACAAAATGACATTTCGGCGTCGTATATCTTATTACGTACTTCGCAGTGAGCGATCCGTAAGAGAAGCCTCTTTGAGAATAAGATATTCAGATCTAACGTACGCTATCTACGTCCATTATCTACTTAGAATATTAAATATTAATATGATAGAAAATTAAGTTAATTAAAACAAGTGATAATACATAATTCATAAAAAAGAAATTCAGTGATCGTTATGTTGCCTCTTCTTGTTAAGTCACATCTCCCAGCCAGTATCGTATCTTCAAAAATTCTTGTGTTAAAATATTAAGCACAAATATCTTAATCAAAGCTATGGAAATGAAATAAAAAAAATTGTAGATAAAATTCTATTCGTATAAATGTGCTCTTATTTTGTTTAATTAACATATTTCTCATTTAATATTACCCTTAAAATAAACAGTAAACAATCCATTTAAATATTTGAGAATATCCATTTGCCTATGTCAAACATCCGTAGTAAGTTCCTAATGATTCCGAGCCCTCTAACCTTCAATGTAATGTGAAATGGAAACCATTTGTTTGCAATACTTCCAAATACATTAAACACATTAAATAATTCAACGTGGACCAAACAATCTGTCGAACAAAGCTAATCAGCGCGGTTTCATTGTTCAGTTGAATTACGGCAATGTTTAATACATCAGGCCGCCGTGACTGGTATACAAAATGCTGGTGAGAAAAAGGCCAACTGGTTCAATCCAGAGTTAATGTAATAAAATAGTTATTCATCAGACGCTCCCTTATTTCACACTGTCTGAAGACGAGCAGGCGACGCGAAAGATAACGGGCGGAAATTTGTATCTGAGCAAAATTTGGTACGGGGGTGTTGATTATTAAGTTACAACGAGATGGAAGTCGGTTACGATTCGGAGAATAATGCAGATTTGCAACGTATAATGTAGCAGTATTTATACAACAATTAATAGCACTTAGTTGGCGTTGCCCTTTGATTCTTGAATTCATTTTTATTTGGAAAAAAAATCATTAACTTGATTCGAATCGAAGCCTAAATCGATCTTTTTCACCTATATCGAATAGATTTTCGATGTAGGTGAAAAAAATCGATTTACAAAAAAACCCTTTGCAATCAACACAATATGTTAACAAAGCTTAGTGTTTCTTATCTTTTCGTTTCGTTGAGTTTCAAATCACAACAATACTAAAAGAAGTTTTTATTTGAATATCGACCGTGTTTAGAATTGCTTGAGAATTGAATTTCATTGAAAACAATATAGACTAAGAATAAGTGGTTGTCATAAAGTGAGTTAGATAAACCAAAGGACACCTTGTTATTTTATCTGTGGCTAATACGCTTTCCGGCAAGTACAAAAGTGATTAACGCAAATATTTCTCCCCAGGTTCTCTCTGTCTTCGTAACGTCCACGTGGCGGTTCCTGAGGCGGTCGAACGAGGATCGAAGGTCGAGATGAAGTGCCTTTACGACCTGGAAAACGAAGTGTTGTACTCCGTCAAGTGGTATCGTGGGGACAGAGAGTTTTGCCGCTACTCCCCCAGAGATGTTCCTCCGCTAAAGATATTTCGTATTCCGGGCATCGAAGTTGACGTGAGTCGAATATTACTAAAACGAACAAACAATGCACCTCTTGCGAGATTGTGATAATAATATGTTGTCGATTTGATGCTAATTTATTAGCTTGATGTTGAAAATTTGGACGTGTAATTCTAAGGGCGCCGGTGCGTCTATGTGCATTTAATGCTTTAATATTTTTGGATTGCATTAGATGGGCATATCCATCGGGCTAATTAGGTAATGAAGTCCGTAGATGCAGCGTTGTCTTCGTAAAATGAGGTTGAAGTTCAATTAGGTATTGTAATAGTGACAGTTTTCGGAGATTTTTAAGCCCATGAATGAACCCAATGAACATGAATACTTCGGCGAAGAATTGGACATGACAATAGAGTGCTGGAGTGCCCTCGTACGGAAATATAGTACAATAAGAGACACATAATTATTCGTACAAAATCTGAGATTGTTACATCTAAATCGTGACAATTTCATGTGTTGTAAAAGATTCGGTTTTGCAAAAATAAACGCTGTGTTGGTTGAGATTATGTGTAAATTGAATTGCAATACTAATAGGACAGGAAGAAATCCTTAAATAGAAGTTAATATGTTTTTTTTTTAGGGCTTAGATGGGTGGACGAGCTCACAGCCCACCTGGTCTTAAGTGGTTACTGGAGCCCATAGACATCTACAACGTAAATGCGTTACCCACCTTGAGATATAAGTTCTAAGGTCTCAGTGTAATTACAACGGCTACAACACTCCGGATTGAGCCCCGTGAGCAAAGCTACACGTCAAGGAGAAGCTGAAATAGACTCTCAAGGGTATCAGCATAGGTAGGAAAAAAAATGTAGCGGACCACTATATGAACCAAATTTATTTATCGATTCATTCCTACTGGTGGTAGGACGACGTCTTGTGAGTCCGCACGGGTAGGTACCACCACTCTGCCTATTTCTGCCGTGAAGCAGTAATGCGTTTCGGTTTGAAGGGTGGGGCAGCCGTTGTACTGAACTGAGACCTTAGAGCTCAGGTGGGTGGTGACATTTACGTTGGAGATGTCTATGGGTTCCGGAAACCAATTAACACCAGGTGGGCCGTGAGCTCGTCCACCCATCTAAGTAATAAAAAAAAAGTACATAGCATACACATATAAAACTTAAAATTTTCCATTCATTACTTTCTATAGATTCTGATGATGTTTTGCTATAATCCGACTAGTCGTATTAAAAATATGCAAATAACCTACTTAAAATTCTATAATACTTACTTCGCTCTATAGAGAACGTGATAGTGCTCTTGAAGCAATTTGATTTTCTAAATAAAACGTTTATTGAATTCGTTTGTTTAAATTAACAGTCAACTTTGTTTAAGGTTTTTTTTTATTACTTTGACGGGTGGACTAGCTCACGATCCCCCCGGTTAAGTGATTTCCGGAGCCCATCGACATCAACAATGTGAATGCCGCCACGGGCTTCAGTAACCACTTAACACCAGGTAGGCTGTGAGCTCGTCCACCCATCTAGGCAATAAAAAGAAAATTATCAGTTTTTTAAATAAAATAATTTCGATATCCTATAATTAGAAGTCAGATTTTTTTCCATACAAACAGCAAAAACAATATTTCATTACGTATTCATCATACCGAGACATTTCCGCTAACACGTGCTGAGCGAAGCCGCCTCAACTTCACAATTCCGTTATGAAAATGAAATTTTCTCCGGATATTTTCTCTTGCAGCGACAAATTATGACAACTAAGTATGAAATTAATTTAGGAAGTTGACTCGTCGAGTAGCGGCCCTTGGCTCCGACTTTACAAATTCTTGTTGAGATGTTAATCTAAATAATTTCATGGTCTATTTCGTTATCTGAAGATTTCTGTCACTAATGAGTCCTAGTCGATTTTGATTATTCAAAGCTTCTCAGTGGAATATCGGGATTTATTATTTCAAGTATGCTGTATTTATCGAAAATATATTAAAAACTTTTAGTGAAGCGTATGCGTAATTTAGTTTTAATTTGATTACGTTATTTTTTCCTAAAATTAATTGAGTTGTAAGTAAAACGGCCCCAAACTGGATTTTATCTTGTGATATCAGTGCCGATAGCAACTATAAAAAAGATAAGGTCACCCAGTCCTCGATATTTGTTTTACAATAATTGCGCTAATTGAACTGTTTTTATTGCTGTAGATAGGTGGATAGCCTTAAGGCTCACTTGTTTGTGTTTAAGTGGGAGGTAACAGATGGACCGTTCGATCATCACATTACGTAGGATGTAGGTGGCAAAGGACCGGCCGCTCTGGAGATTAATTGGAGAGGCCTATGTTTAGCAGTGGACAGTAGACAGGTTGAGATAATGATGACGGCTCACTTGGCTCACTCAAAACAGAACTATCTTTAATGAACAAGTAGGTTGTATGTATTTGATCTAGACAACGAATTACATTGTAGTATTTATATGTTATGGTTCTTAGTTCTCATTAGCTATACAATACTATCAATTTTATATATCAATATTATATATATCGGACGCCCGAGATCGCGCTCCTCCGAGAGGAATGCGTCCGGGCGCGCCGCCGTAGCGCCTGCCACCGCCGTGGCCGCCTTCGCGATGCGGACTTCGCGGAGGTGGCGACCTGCCTTCAGGCCTACTGCCGTCAGAAGCAGGAGGCATTGCGGCAGGCCATCGGCGAGGCCAAGTCTCAGAGCATGAAGACGCTCCTAGAGACGCTTGACCAAGATCCTTGGGGGCGCCAGTACCAAACGGTCTGCAAGAAATTGCGGCCGTGGGCGTTTCCGGTGACGAAGTGTCTCCAGCCTCAGCAGCTGCGGGAGACTGTCTTCGGGCTGTTCCCGCGGATGGAGAGGGGCTTTGAGCCCCCTTGCATGAGCGCGCCACCACGCGGTAGCGTGAGCGGCGATGCCCCTGCTGTGGTGATCCCTCCGAGCATCTCGGAGGAGGAGATTCGTGCGGTCGTGTCGAGGATGGTGTTCACGGCCGGGTCTGGGATTTGGCCTTCGGTGTCCTTGGGGACCGGCTCGTGCGGCTCTTTGAAGCCTGCCTCGAGTCGAGACGGTTTCCGAAGCAGTGGAAGACGGGCAGACTTGTTCTACTAAGGAAGGAGGGACGCCCTGCGGACTCACCTGCGGGGTATCGTCCCATCGTGTTGTTGGACGAGGCGGTAAAAGTGCTCGAGCGAGTGGTGGCCGCCCGAATCGTCCAGCACCTGACGGGGGTAGGTCCCGATCTGTCAGCGGAGCAGTTCGGATTTAGGGAGGGCCGCTCGACCATCGACGCGGTGATGCGCGTGCGCACCCTCTCTGATGAGGCTGTTGGCCGGGGCGGGGTTGTACTGGCGGTATTCCTGGACGTCGCCGACGCGTTCAACACCCTGCCCTGGTCGGTGATCGCGGGGGCGCTGGAGTATCACGGCGTCCCTGGGTATCTCTGTCGGCTAGGAGGATAGATCAGTAGTGTGCACCGGGCACGATGGGACGGTACTCCGCTTCCCCGTCGAGCGCGGTGTTCCACAGGGGTCGGTCCTGGGCCCTCTCCTGTGTAAAATTAACTATGACTGGGTCCTGCGGGGCGCCCTTAGCGCTCCTCTCCCGGGTCTGAGTGTAGTTTGCTACGCGGACGACACTTTGGTCGTGGCCCGGGGGAGGGACTTGCGAGAGTCTGCCCGTCTTTCCTGCGCGGGGGTGGTCTTCGTCATCAGCAGGATCTGAAGGCTGGGTTTGGAGGTGGCGCTCAATAAATCCCAGGCCCTGTTGTTTTACGGTGCCCGGAGAGCGCCGCCTCAGGGGGTCCACCTCGTGATAGGAGGCGTTCGCGGTCCAGGGGGGAGCCACGTCCCGGCGCGGTGGAAGTTCGAGGGCGGAAGCTTCAATCTCGGCGTGCCGTGCTCGAGGCGTGGTCTCGCCGCCTGGCGGACCTCGCCTACGGGCGACAGACCGTCGAGGCGATCCGCCCGGTCCTCTCAGACTGGGTGAATCGCGACCGAGGACGTCTCACATTCCGAGCGACGCAGGTGCTTTCGGGACACGGCTGTTTCGGTCGCTACCTGCACCTCGTCGCCCGGAGGGAGCCGACGCCGAAGTGCCACCACTGCAGTAGCTGCAACGAGTACACGGCGGAGCACACGCTCGCGTACTGCACTGCTTTCGCGGAGCAGCGCCGTGTCCTCGTTGCAAAATTAGAACCGGACTTGTCGCTTCCGAACGTCGTGGCTACGATGCTCGGCAGCAACGAGTTCTGGCAGGTGATGCTCGACTTCTGTGAGTCCACCATTTCGCAGAAGGAGGCGGCGGAATGGGAGAGGGAGAGCTCTTCTTCCCTCGCGGCGCCGTGCCGCCGCCGTACCGCGGAGACCGACGTCGTTCGTCGTCGACTATCGCCTCGACGACCCGTCAGTCGGGCGTCCTCGGGGTGGTGCCGCGTGTCTGGTTGTAATGTTGACCGCGGGAACCCCCCTACTCTGACCAGGTTTTGACCCCGGACGGAGATCGGACGTCGGGTGTAAGAGTGCAGGGGAGTCGTTTAGTGGGTAGGGCCCTAAAATTCCTTGGGCCCGCGGTCTGCTCCCAGCTTAACCAACACGCCTCCTCAGCGCCAGGTCCTCGTAGGAGGTTCGGCGCCAGGTCCAAAAAAAGACATAAGGTGAATGCCGCCATTATTTTTGAGAGGTGAGGCCAAAGTCTGAATTGAATAGTGCAACAGCTGTCATACCCGTAAAGCCGGAAGATATCACTGCCTAGAGATAGAAATTGGCAAAATCTACTCGCGCAGTCTCAGAATACATCCTGAAATTAAAAAAAAAACGCTCCACATTCACGATGTGGCTTAACAAGCCGTCTGTCCTGTTTAATAATTTCATAAAATCCGCTACGCCTACATAGCGAGCAGCTCCGCGCGGACGAGTCTTGATTCTGAATCCGCAGTAAACATTCGGCTAATAAATAAGAAGCTCACTTCGCTGAATACCAATGCGGTCGCATTTTCCTCCCGCGTTCGTTCTTCGTACGTTGATTACCA